AGAAGAGGAATTTTAAAAATATATTTAACATAATTTAACTAATAGGAAATGTTTTAAATTTTAAATAATATTTCGAGAAAGAAAATTAGCATAATATCTGGTAAAGAAAAATTTTAGGTATATAATTAGCAAGTTGTGAACGATGCGACGATGTTGTTTGTAGAATTTATTTTTTAAACTCTTAATTTTTTAAATTATTAGTGGGTAATTAATAGAGAGGGGTAATTATAAAACTTTATTTATTTTCATTTATTTATTTTTCCTATTACAGTAATATTTTGTTTTTATAATTATAGTCTATTTTCACTTTTCTACGCCTACTTTTTAATAATTTTTTTGATCAATTTTTGCATGAGCTATTTTTTACCTAATTATACTTTTTAAAGTTATTTCTATCTTCAACGTCTACTTTTTAAAAATTTACCCAATTTTCACTTTTCAGTATCAATTTTACAGTTTTTCTCTTGCATGACCTATTTCTAACCAATTTTCACTTTTCAACAATAATTTTGCAACATAATTATTGCATGACTGATTTTTACTATTTCTATTTCAACCGCCTACTTTTTAATAATTATTGTATTTTTTTTAAGTATAAAGGGTAAAAATAATAAAATAAGATATTGTAAGAAAAGAAACTTAAAAAAAAAGTTTAAGAAACAGTTTTAAAAAGAAAAAATATGGGAAATCTTGATTGAATCGTTTGAAAACTACTTATTGAACCCTAGAAACTTTGGGAAAATTTTTAGAATAAAATTTGGTGAAAAATGTGGGGAATGGTATGGTAAGGTGTTTTTTTAAAGTTCGCACCAAACCGGTTTGATCAAATTATCCCTTAAAGGGAAATCCTTAAACCTTTGGACTCTGACGACGGAATGGTTGAATGGTCGTTTAAATATGTGGGAGGGGCTAAATGGTTGGACCCCTCTGCCCCCAACGACATATACGCCGGACTAACTACTGACTTAGATATTCCAAATTAATTTAAAAAATTATTCGTGAGAAATTTTTTTTTGGAATTCTACCCTTTGTAATAGAATTCCTAAATTTTTTTTAATTTTCTAAAAATATAATTCATGTTTTTCCATTCCATGTAATCTTTACCTAACAAATAGCATCAAAGAATCTGAAGATTTTATTATCCATAGGTTATAAAATGATTGGCTGACAGTTTGTGATAGTCTTTGAAAAAAAGTTCTCAGAAAAATTTTATTAAATACCTAATTTTATTTTTTCCATAACCGAATTTTTCCATAACCTCTCTCTTCTCTTTTTGAGAGAGAAGTCTACTTTTTTGAGAGGATTTTTCTTTTTTGAGAGAGAAAGTCTATTTCTTTTTCGAGTATCCTCCTGTCCCACTTGGCCTTCAGAAATTCTCAAAATTTTCGCTGCGGCGCCAAAAAAGTGATCTGGCGACTATTTTTGAAAATCCCGAAATCCTGAACAGGATCCTGAAAAAAATGACAGTATTGGCAGTATTTCAGGATTTTCAGGATTAATCCTGCAGGATTCTGTCCTGTTCGAAATTTTAAAACCCAATCCTGATACAGGATCCTGCAAATGCGATTTTACCGATTAACTTTACATGAGACGAAATGAACTACGATGTTCCTACACTTACAATTCAATCTCTACCTCACTAATTGCAATAAGCAATTCACTACACTTCGTCATAATACTTCACCAAGTACTAGTCTCCACTGTTGTTGTTGTCGATCTGACACGCCTGTAGACAATCTGTTGCCGCTCAGTTGACGAGCACTGGTTGCCGGACTGTTGACGAGCACTGGTTGACGGACTGTTGATAAGCACTGGAGAGCAGGAACTAGCTTGACTAGTATGATCCAACTAAACTGATGTTCAGAATGGCTTTTATATTACACAATTTAAGTCTTTCTTTTTCCGAGAAAGAGAGGAACACTATAAAAACGCCATCATTTCTTCTCCTTTAACAACACAACTATCAATCTTCTATCATCATCTACAACAAATTCTCTTCATCTACGTTCGTCGACGTACCTGTAATGCGGAAGCGCTGCTGCAACTCTTCAGGCGTCAACGGGATGGCCTCGACATCGGCTCTGGTTTCGCGTGCTCTTCTTCTGCTCACGGTCGCTCTGTTGCTGCTCGAATGCGTTGTCTGGTGCGACCTGGTTGGATTTGCTAAGCATGAAAGGAAGGACAACAAGATCATAAAGCTAGGCACAGGCCTCGGGACTGATTGCGAAGTTGGCAAGGGTCCTAATGAGGGAGATATGTAAGCACATTTATTTTTTAAAATAAGTATTTTAAAAATTTTGGTTTTAATTTTTTACAGGATCATCAAGTACAAAAAGGGCCTTCCACATGCGACAAAAGGATGCTCCATTGATCTGCTCACGAAGAACGAAGGGATCCAGCTGGAATTCTTCGTCACCGGGAATCTGATGGAATGCTTGACGGACGCTGTGGCTGATGGGAATACCGTTAAGGATGAGAGGGTCGGCGACGATAATTTGTGAGTGAATTATCATTGTTAAAATTTTTGTGACCTGATGCAATTTTTCTTTAGGTTTCCGTTCACCTTCAGTCTGGGGGAAGATGGGTTCAAAAATTTGGTGAAGGATGGGCTTAAAAGAGGTGCCGACGCTGAGTGTACTACAAAATGTGTGAACGAACGTTCCGGAAAATGCCTGGTATCGACCGAGTTCGATGTTGCTTTTGGACGAAGGGGTGACATGATGCTCTACAACGTGCACATCCGTGAGTTTTAAATAAATATCATTAATCATTTAAGAAAATAATCATTGGTTATTAATCAAATTTATTTTTTAGTTGGTGAGCCGAGAATCTGGTACTGCGCTTCTGCATCAAATAAGGCCGAAAACACCGCGTCTATCAAAATCAACTTCGATCCAAAAGCGTATCCAGGATGGCGGGTGTCGTCTGCTCACGCTTGCGGAGGGAACGCATTGGACTACGATAAGGAAGACAAATACTGCCACAATGAAAAGGTTCTTCGCAAGGCTGAGGAATGGGAGATCACAGACCAGGCGCATAAGGACGAATTCAAATATCTCTTCACGCTGAACATTCTGCCACTGCACATTGTACCCAAGCATACGTCACATCGACAAAAAGTTGAACTTGACAACAAGCTTGATGGGAACAAAGGTCCAAAGTGCGAGATGTCCCTCAGACTGGTAAAATTTATTTAAAATTTTTAAAAATATTTTGTCTACAAAATTCTTATTTATTTTAGAGTGGTAGCCGGTTCAAACAGTTTGGTGGTAGTACTCCTCCTGGTTCTGATCCGCCTGTTGCACCTTCTGTTCCTGGTGGAAGCACTGATCCTGCTGTTGAAACGACCACGTCTGGTCCATCTAGTGGAACTGAAGCTTCCGGCAGTAACATGGTTCTCATCATTGGCATCGTCATTGCCGTTGTAGTCCTGTGAGTTTTATATTTTTGATTTGGGTTATTTAACAAAATTACATTGAAAATAATATTATAGGCTTGCTGTAGTTGGTGGCCTTGTCTGGTTCTTCGTGCTCCGCGGAAAAGGTGAAGAAGAAGAGGGAATGGAAATGGGAATGACCGGTGCTGGAGGTACGAAGACCAAGACCAAAGTTGGTGGGACGACCGTTGGAGCGACCCAAGCAAAGACCGGCGGAATGACTACTGTTGGAGGGACGCAAGCCAAAACCGGTGGAGCGACAACTGCTGGCGGTGCTACATCGAAAGCTGCGGGGACAACGAAGGGAGGAGCGACATCGAAGGCTGGAGGGGCAACGTCGAAGAAGTAGAGAGGAGCGGGAGAGAAGAGGAGAAGTGAAGATAATTGTGATAGGATAATATATCTAAAATAATTCAACATTTACCTAAATTGTATCCCCATAATTATTTTCCTCTTCCCTTTTCCCTCATATAATATATCTTCCTATATATTTGCGCGCATTGGGAGTATTATACTACTACCCTATTTTGTATATATACCATATCTTGAAATGTATATTTGTATATTGTTTGTGCGCTCTATTATAATATATGTATGTTGTATGTATTGCTAAATAAATATTGTATTTGAATTTGTGTATTTGATTTTTGTTTTAGGGAATAGGTTTAGAGGTGGTATTAGGATAACAGGGATGGAATACCAGAAATCTGGAGAGAGAAATTTCCGACTCAAACCCTCTGATTCAATTACTTCAAAATACATTTACATTTATATCTCTGACATTTATATCTGTTTTCAAATTAAACCGTGTCTTATCTGCGATTGATAATTTTTTAAAATCCAACCCATTTTTGAGTAAAATCTATTTTTTCGGTTATTGTTCAAATTAAAGCTTGTCTTGACTAAAGACTTTTGGGGTTTGCCGAAATCAATCAAATCAGCCGATACTCAAAATAAACTGTTATCAGACTTAATCCCTCCAAATCTCCTAAATTATCGCATTGTTGAAATTTTTAAAATATTTTTGTATTGAGTTGATAGAGAATTGATTAGATAGTTAGAAAATAGACTTTTCACTTTTGAAATTTTTCAAAAATCTACAAGAGAATGAAACAACAAGAATGAAAACAACGGCAATAAGATGTCGAAAATAGAAATTTTTGACTCCAATCATAATTTAACAACATTCTTCCCCCCCCCCCCCCCCTCAGTCAAGAAAAAATCAGGGAACTTTAAAAAATGACTCGATCCATTTTTGTTGAATAAAACAAAAGCTCTATTTACATATGTATATCTAAAAATATTATTTATATATAAAAAATAATATATAATATTTATTTTTATAAAAATTTCTTTAAAATAAACATTCAAGATTAGCAGCGCTTTTTAAAGCCATCGCTTCATCATTAATTAACCCCGCAGCCAAGTTTTTAGCATTAATCTCAACTGATCGTTTAGCTCTATTTATTTTCGTTTCTGATTTTTTCTGTCCAGTTTTACATGTTCCACAACATTTACATATAAAAAAAGATTAAAAATATTTTTTAATTAAAAATAAAAATATTTACATTAAACCAAGTTCAGCACGTACTTCGGGCGGTAAAGATGAGAGGAAATTGTGTTCCTAAATTAAAATTTTTCTTAAAATTTCTTCTCTCATTTTTACCTGTTTTCTAAAATTAACCCATTTATTATAAGCTTCTCTTGCATTTGCCGATAATTTTTGAATTGTTAGGTGCCGTTCAGAAATTTGTTCTGAAAGTTTCTGATCGAATTTGGCAAAGCGAGCAATCTAAAAGAAAATTTTAAAAAATTTCTTTATTTTCTCTAAAAATAAATATCAAAACCGATTCTTCATTTTTGAGTAATTCTTGTGCCAATTTCCGAAAGTCAGTCTGTTTTTGTTCAATTGTCATATCATCATTAAACCAGACATGCATAAAACGATCTCTAACCTCATCCGATTCATTTTTTAAAAACCCAGGTCCACAAACTCCTTTAAAAAGTTGCATTCGAGTCTATAAATTAATTGAATTGATGCTTTTGTTAACTCAAAAACCTCTTCTGGGATTGCCATTATAATTGCTCGGGTTTGCTCCTGCTCTTGTTCACATTCGTCTCCTGCTTGGTAATTAACCCAAATTGCGTGAATTTTTGCCTGAGCATCTTGAGGAAGTCGATAGGCAAATGGAGGGATCCCGCAATCCAAATGACGTTGGTGCCAAGGTCCTAAAGCATCGAAAGGATCGGTAGAAGAGAGGGGGCCACTATCACCACAATTACACCCTAAGGATTTTGAAGGAACCAAAATAAGAGAAATGAATAAAGAAAATATTAAGTGAATATTCATTTTGAGAAAGATTTATTTATTCTTTAAAAAATAAATAAAAATTAGTAGAAATAATAATGATAAAAAAATAGTTAAAAACAATAGTTAAAATAATTATTTATTAAAATAAAATTATTTATCAAGCAAAGTAAATAATTCGGAGGAATCGAGGAGTATTTGTATTTAGCTTAATAAAATTATTTATTTATTCAGTTACAATTAAAAGAATAAAGGAATTAAGTAGATTATTTATATTTCCTAATCTCTTTTAAATATCCGGTTTTTCAATTGTTTTTAATATTGGCTAACAAAAGATTCCAAATATTAAGTAATTTTTGTTGTTTTTTCGTTCTTGTGACTGTTTTACATTGGCCGCTTTAAGATTAAAAGTTGGTAATTAGGTAATTATTTTATTTTTAATAAATAAAGAGAAATAAATTTAAAAATCAAAAATAATTTTGGATAAAAATTAAATAAATAAAAATAAAAAAGAATTTAATTTTCAATTCCTTTTTTTCAACTTTTCTCTTTTAACGATAAAAATCTAATTTGCAATGATTTAAAAATAGCACCAAATAAAAGCTAAATCTGTCAAAATAATTTGGAAGAGATGAAACTTTGACGAAAAAAGAAGATATTTTAAATTCAAAAAAGAAAATAAAGGCAGGCACGTGGAGAAGAAATTCCTCAGCCGGTGGTGCCAAAATAAATATTTATTTTTTTGTGTTTTTGGCTATATTTCCTTTTATTTTCTTTTAAAATTTCTTTTTTGCATTAAATGATGAAATTATCGCGGCAAACAAATCTGATGAGAAGAATGCCGCGAAGCGAAACGCCAACTGGTAGGAGGAGAGAAAGAAGAATTAAATGAAAAGAAAAAGGGCCTTTTAAAAAGAAATTCATTCCTTTTTTTAGGAAAATTCTCGAGAAATTAATAAAAAAATTCTAAAAAAATTTACATGTGTTCCCATTTATTTTGTTATTTAATAATATGTAAATTTCCTTTTTTTATTATTGGATTTTCAATCTTCGGATTTTGAAATCTGGCTCTGATATATATACTTGAAAAAGATTTACTCAGTTATTATTTAACACAAAATATTGTATAAATAAAATTTAATTATTTTAATAATTTAAAAAGTCAATGATTCTTTTAATTATTATTATCTTCGATTATTTTAATTTTTCATCGCAGCAATATTACAAAAAAGATTTTAGTTCACGTTCTCCTTATATAACATCAGAACGTCCTTTAAGGTAAAATTTGTAAGGTAAGACAAATTTAGTAATTTCTTAGGTTAGCACTTCGTGCATGTACTTCACAACTTGAACCTTTCCAATTAGATACAATGCTTGTCAGTTTTTATTTTATTAAAAATATTGAAAGAAACACGGAGAATTATTCTTAAAAATTTTAAAGTTCTTTCCTTCTGATTTAAAAATTTGTGCCTCAATTGAATCAAACAAAGGAATGAATGCTTTATCACGCGATCGCGCAAGAACAACACATTTGAGGCCATTAGTTTTTCTTTCAATTCGGCCAGTTGGTTCTTCTCTTCATTGCCAATTATCTTTTTATGTTTGTTCCTCAAATAATTTAAAATTCTTTCAAATTTTTAAGGGCTATCAAGGAGATTATCGTTTTGCTCCAGATTTAGGTTATTACCAAACGTGTCAACGTTCCATTTCTCAACATTTGGATAAATTAGTCGAGAAGGAAAAGGATATTCTTGTTGATAGCAATAGCCCAACAAGCATTCCTTTATTAAATTCAACAACAAATAATTGCCCAATTCATTCACTTCCCGGCACAATTAGAGTTGGGAATCTTTTTTTAAAAATTTTGTTATTTATTTATTTTTTGTTAGGAATTAAATGCTTGTAAATTAAAAGACGGCCAATGGTATGAACTTTCTTTTCGATCGGCAATTCAGTACGAAATATTAATTACCGAAAAAAATATTTACCAACAAATGTGGGTAAATCACTCGACAACTTTTGTTTTCAAGCCTGACAGAGAAGTTTGGAGAAATGGAACAGAACTTTATTGGCTTCAACGATTACTTCAGTTAAGAGTTAAGTAAGGGAACAGAAAATGTTTAAATAATTAAAAGAATTTTTTTGGTAGAATGAAAAATTGTGAAGCTGTTCGTTATTTGTTAAAGTTAGACGAAAGTTGGTCTTCAGGTCAATTACCTGTTACCGTCTTTATTGACTATCAAGTGAGAGAGAATGCTTATGTAAAGCATTCGAGGCATTTGGGAAATGGAACGCTTATGGATGGATGGTTTACTGGAACATTTCCGGTATGGAGAACACCTGAATTACGTACTCATGAACTTTGTGTTCAGGTAAAAAATTAAAAAAAATTAGTAACAAAATTTCTTTCAAGTTTGCATGGCCTCGTTCATTAAATCAGTACAGACTTTGCAGAACTTTTCTTCGAGGCCGGTCTTCACTCGATTGTGATCCATTCTCCTATTATACACAATATTCAGTTGCCTCAAAAAGTGAAAATAATAAAAATAAATTAATAATTAATTTTGTAATTTATATAATATTTATATTATTTTTTAATTAATAATAAACTTGTAATATTTAATTTCTCAAATTATTAACTAAATCATTAATTTATTTAATAAGATAAAACGGCACGAAATGATAAGTAAAATCTATCTTAATCAGTTAAATCGAACTATGACTTTTTTCAAAATTGGTAAAAAGAATCGAAGAAAAATTAACCCTAAACTTGTATAAAACAATTAAAAATATCTCTAATTTTAAATTTTTAAATTAAATATATTTGATATCTTATTTGAAAAAATCCCAAATCCCCAACTAAATTAATCAATTCCTTCATTCCGCAAATTTTATTTTCATTTCGCTGTTTTTTCTTAATCCAGCATTTTTTAATAAAATGAACATATCTGTTTACAAAGAGAGAGAAAATGAACGTTAGTTCATTCAAGTTTATTTTATAACAAAAATTTTACGTGAAAAGCAACTGCTTATTCAATAAAAAATAAATAAATATTTTGAGCTATATCCAACATTTATAGGTCAATTGGATGTTGTTTTTTAACAATTGTTTATCAAAAATTAATTTTCACGTTTTATGTTTATTCGATTCTTAAACAATCAACAAAAACAAAACTTTAATTTAAAATTAATTAAATATTAACTAATTTAAACTAATTTTAAATTACCTACATATATTTAAAATTATATTTTAATCGTCAAACACAAATTTAAACAAACTGCAAATTAACTAGTATTTTAGTTGCCTTTTTAATTAATGGGAACTAAGCGCCCCCTCCATGAACGATCACCACCTGGATTGGACATTGTACCAGCCAGTCAGAGACGGCGACTTTCTTTTTCTAACAGTGACTTATCAGATACTCGACAATTAAAGGGGCTCTACGAACTCTGTCTTGGTAACTGATATTTTTCTAAAGACAAATATTTGTTAGAATCTAAATCCGGTTACCGGTGATTAACTAAATTGTACTAATTATTGTACTAATTTTCTCGATTCTCTCGACTTTAATAATTTAAAGATCAAGTACTTCGAGGATTACACCCTGTTTCAAGAGACACGGCTATTAGGCTTGCTGCAATTCAATGTTTTGTACAATATGGACCTTTTTATGATGGAGTACAAAGCAGTGTTCGGTTGGTATATTTGTAAATTCAGATTAGTTACTAGTTAATTCTCCTTGGCCTCTCAAAATATTCTTAACATTAATTTATATTTATCATTTTATTTATTTTTTAAAGTGCTTACAATTTGTTGCCAAAAGAATATTTACATGCAAGAGAACACGAGAAAAATATAATTGAAGTACTTACATCATTTTTTAAGAAAAATTAAAGTTTTATTTAGCAATACCGAAATTTAATTTTTCCAAACGACATAGCTGCACAACGGAAATATTGTGACATACCGTATTTCCTGAAATAGTACTCCCCCCTAAATTAGCACTCCCCCCTTAAATAGTACTCCCCTTTGGAGGAGGGTTGAAAAATAGTACTCCCCCCTGAATTAGTACTCCCCCTAAAATAGTACTCCCCCCAAAAATATTTTTCCTCTATACATATTTAAAAAAATAATACGAGACATTGAATTATTTTATTTATTCTAAGTATCGTTGTCGGTTTCACTTGATTCTTTGATAAACAAAACCTGAGAGCTTTCGGTTAACCGAAAACGAATCGAAATTTTAAACTAAAATTTTTCGAGGATTAAAGAGATATAATCCGATTAATTGGTGGAGTAAAAGTGGATTTTGGGTATATAAAGGGATTGATATCGGGTGTAAAATGGGTTCTGTATTAATCAAGTGGCATTTAAAAGACATCATTGGATTAAGGTTTGATATAGGAATTTGAGGGAATAATGAAGGGGGAGTAATATTAGGCGATTTTGGTTGATTAAGAGCGATTAAGCGATAAGTTGAATCATAAATCCTTCTTAATCAACTAATATCGGAAGTACAAAAGGGATGTGGAGGATATCGGTGTTTAATATGATAAATAACTAGACAGAGATTAGGTAATCCCTAGACACATGGGTTTAGTTGACCCTGATAAATCTTAGACCCGAAAATCCCCTTATATCCCTCGATATCACTCCAAATTCACTTATATCCTTTTTGATTTCCCTCAATAACCCGTATTTTAAGTCACTTGTGTTTAATTGTCTCGCAATTTGCTCAATTTTATACTAATTCGGATATTTTCTACAACTTTTATTAAAGAAATTTTTTGAAAATCAGGGTCCGGATCCGGCATTTTTCAAATAGCGAACTCTAATCGAATTTATTTTGAGATAAATTGAAATAAATTAAAATATTTTTTTTAATTTTGAAATAAATTTTCCTATGAAAAATCATGGAGGATGGTTGAAAAATAATACTCCCCCCTGAATTAGCACTCCCCCCTTAAATAGTACTCCCCTTTGGAGGAGGGTTGAAAAATAGTACTCCCGGGAGTACTATTTTAGGAAATACGGTATGTAAGAACCTTCCAACATACGGAATGATTTTTTTCAATGTAAAGGAACCTGTCCGAAATAGTAAGCTTTTAGATTTTATTAAAAATAATGGAAAGACTGGAGTTTATTAAAACGAATTTGGCTGGCAAAATATTTAATATCTTGATCAAAAAATAATTTAATCAAAATTATTTGTAGAATTAGTGCCTCGTCTATTTGGTGTTAATAAGGAATGCGTAATGAGTGTTGACAAAAAGAACAAGGTTAAGAGATAACAAAATAGTATAAATTTTTTTAAATATTTTTTGTAGGTTGTTCTCAAATCCTGGCCGTTGGAGCAACTTAGGAGATGGGCTGCCTCTCCAAATACTTTTAATATTGTATTTAAATTATTTAAATAAAAATTAAATTTGTACTTGTTTTTAGGATTTTGGTGATTACCAAGATGGGTATTACTCTGTTCAGACGGTAAACAAAAAAAGTTATTTCACTTTGTAAAAGTTAATTAAATAACAGCCAGAGGCAGGAAAGATTAAACGACTCATAGCAGAATTTGTGGATATAATACTTATCAAAAAACAATTAGTTGACCCTTTTGGTGTTGAGGGGGATGAAGGGGCTATTATGATTGAAGACTTTGTACATCGAGCCCGTTCTGTTCCTCTATCTGCCGAGGATTTACAGCAAATACAGGAAAGTGAAAAAGATGTTAGAAGAGCAAAACCTGTTGAACCACATGAACGTTATGAACAAGTTGTTGTTCCAGAAGACTTAGTGCCCTCAATGGATGAACAAAAATTAATTGAGGTAAAAGTATTCAATATAGAATTTATATGTATATCCAAACTAATTTCAGCATTACCGCCCAATGACAGTTCCAATTCCGGTTGCAGAGTTTCCAAGGAGTTATCAACGTCTTCCTAGCGCTCCTCCATTAATAAACATCACCCAACCAACAACTCCCCAATCCCCTATTCATTTTACCCAGACAGAACGTTACGAACAATTACCCCCGCAAATTTTTGAAGAAACTGCCAAAATTTCACCACAAAATGTTCCAGGCAATTTTTAATTAAAAAATATCGCGAAGAAGCTTATAATTATTTAAAATTTTTCAGTTTCAAAGCCACCAGATATTCTTCAAATTCAAATCCCACCACCTTTACTACCGCCACCTGTTTCTATTGAAATTATTGATAATTCTAGAGGTCTCAGAATTTTTTAAATTTAATACAACTTTTATTTTTAAAGAAAAGAAACCCTTACAACCTCCGAGTTCCCCACCAATAAACACCACCAAAGTTGATTTAATTCAAGAACAATCCGAACAGCATCATTTTTCGGCTTTTACCTCCAATCAAATTGCCTATGAAATTTGTTCTGTAATTTTAACTTTTTTTCCACAGAAATTATTTTTAAATTATCAGAAAGAGGGAATTATGCATCGTTCATACGAGCAACATTTTGAAAACACAAAAAATTTACAATCATTTACTGAAGTAATCGAAATAACAATTAAACGGTTACTTGATTGTAGTCAACAAACTTTTAATTTTAATTTGCCAACATTAAATAATGAAGAAAAAGCATCAGCCATTAAATTAGGCGAAGATACAATTCGCCATCAAGCTGTCCTTTTCTTAGCCTGCACAGCGCAGGTTTAGTTTTTTTGGATTGAGATTAATAGGAACATTCATCTCTGTTTTATCTTATAAGGAGAGGAAACTCCCTCTGGGGTGTGTTCAGATCATATGAAGTTTCTGATATAACATGTCTTATCATCCCTGGCTAGCATTTAAATTCATGCTAACTGACTAAACTCTTACCTACAACTTTTCTCTTTCTATTTTTTCAAAATATAGGCGATTGAATGGACATCCGAATCTCAGCGTTTTGGACCTAAATATGGTCGCGCTTGTACGGCAATTAATCAAGGGGGTGATTATCTTTGCGAACTAAATCAGTGCACAAAAGAGCTAGTCGCTTTATATTCAAATCCCCAATTTACCACCCAAATACTTTCAATAATCAACTCTCTCAATGAGGCTTTCATTAATTTTTTAGGTAAATATACTTCCAAGTTTTTAAATAATTTAAAATTAAATTTAAGGTAAACTACATCCCGATTCTAATGAAAAACGTTCCCAATTTCTTTCAACTGCCAGTTTTGTAGGGGAAAGTGTCTTTATTTTATTAAATTCATTAAATGCGGATGAAACAGAAGCAATTGAAGAAAAGAATTTTTTTAATAATTTGAATGAGGCTATTCAAAACGTTGCTAATTCAACTGCTGGATTAGTTCTACAGTTAGAATTAATTAGAAAATAAATTTAAAATTGGAATTTTTAGGGCTAAAAATATATCTGGATCGCCAATAGATTTTCCTAGAGATAATATTATACAAGCAGCAACTCGAGTAGCTTTATATACGAGGTATTGTAAAGCATATAGCTATTTAATTCCTAAAGCTGTGCAGTAGTTGGCGTGGTGTAATGGCTAACACATCAGTCCGGTCTACTGAAGATGCTTATTTGCTCCCATCCGCCGAATAACCTGCACTAGCTGAGGGAGAGAAATAGCTATAGCCCAGCTGCTTTACTCCCTTTAAATATTTACAAATATGTCCAAAGTCAAATAGTCTTCAAGACTTTCTATACGTGTTAAAAATAAAATACAAAAATTCACTTCCAGTTCGAAAATATTCTTTTTTAGTTAAAAAAATTTTTTTAATTTTATTTTCAACGATGTGTGTACATATATTTAATTTTAAGTGAGGCAATAGCTCTCTCACGTGTATTAACTTCTATAATGGCACATCCAGCATGTCAAAGAAGGGTTTGTTTGATTTTTACTTAAAATATCTCACAATAATCTATGTATTTCCCTAGATTCAAAGGATAACAAAATTAGTATTTATTTCAATTAATGAATTACTTGAATTGGCAAAATCAGAAGCCTTTGATCAATTTAAATTGACTGGCAAAACAGAATATTATCAAAATTTACAAAAATATGCATTAACCACAGAAATTGCTTTAAACAATTTAATAGAGCAAATAAAGACATAAAAAATATATAAAATTAAATTTTTTTAGATTATTTTTTCTCTTTAATAAATTGATAAATTTAGATTGCTTTCTAAATTTTTTAAACAAAAAATATTAATTAACGATCATAACCAGCCTTTTTGTTAGGATAGCACCCCGTCTTCCGAAACTCCGACCCTGCCCCGACGAATTTTTAACCCCGAACCGAACCTCGAAAGCTCTACCCCGGCAAACCTTGATCCCACCCCTGAAGGCTCGGAGTGCTACCCTCTACTTTTTGTGATTATTTTTTAAAATTAAATCCAAAAATATACCTCTCTTACGAGAGAGAGTGTAATTAAGCGAGTGAGAAAAAATATTCGAGAGAAAATAATTAATTAAAGAAATATATTTTTTAGGGAAATAAATGATTATTTATCATTATATAAAAAATATTTTTCTTTTAAAAATTCTCAAATCATCCAAACTTTAATTAATTAATAACACCCAAACTTTCTTGTGTTACTAAAACATTGTTGCTAGGTGATATTATATTTGTAGTAAACAAAATATTACATTTAATTAATTTCAAAATAATTTGTCTGTAATTTCTGACACTTAAAAGAGTTACCTTAAAAAATATTTTTTTAATTAAATTAATTTAAAATAAATTTACCAAAGGATTTAAAACAACAATTAAAGAATTAAATAATGGAGTTATTATAAAACCAAATTTTAAATAAAACATTGAATTATTTAAAATTGTTAAATTAATTATTGTTTGGGAGAAAAATGGAAGAATGGCCAAAAGTGCCTTAAACAAGAAATTAATTTTTAATAAAATTAATATTAAAAGTTTTTATAAATAAAAATTTGTAATTAGATAAAAAGGATATATTTTATTTTTAATTTAAAAATTAATTTCATCAAAATTATTATTAATAAAATTTTTAACTTTATTATTAAACAATTTATGACAAAAATTCTTAAGCATTTTAACAGCAATATTACCAAAAAATATATACAAAAGTTTCAAGCCTGAATGGCTCCCTTGTCAAAACTCTTGTTTTCCAACTCTATTATTTTCCACTTTTATTAAAATTATTTTTATAAAATTTTGAATGTATTCTAAAATATACTTGTGACCATAAAACAATAGAAATTTGCTTGTTAACTTTACGCATAGTTTCCAAATTAGGTCCATTATAATGACGATACACATACAATTGAATTCGAATTCCGCACAATATAATAATTATATACCGTATTTCCTATATTAGAGCCCCATGGGGCTCTATTTTTCAACTATCCTCCAAGGTGGGGCTGTATTAAAGGGTGGGGCTCTAATTGAGGGTGGGGCTCTATTTTTCAACCCTCTTTTGAGATAGAATCCCATTTATTATATCCATTGCAACTAGAGATAGGCCGGAGGGGTTGGTTGATAAAACCAAAAAATATCGAAAGACAATCGATATTTTTCAATTTTTCAAAAAAATTAAAATTTTATAAGCAATGAGTAACGAAATAATCGCAATAGTTCAATGAGGGTAAGATTAATTATAAAATATTTGTAGATTTTGACGGATTAAAGGGAATATTAGGGGACTTGTATTTGACATTGATGGATCATATATAGGTATACAAGCGATTTTAAGGGATTATGGGGAATATCAGAGGATTAATTTTATATTGAGAGATTTAGCGGGGTTAAGAGTGATATTTTGAATGAGGTATTAGTAGGCATATGAAGGGATTTTTTTGTGAAGAGGGATATCGGTGATATAAGGGATATCTATCGGGGATAAAAGGAATACCCACTATATCTCTTCCTTTTCCCCTTAGTTAATCCCTCATATTTCCCTTAATCCTTATATCCCCATGGCCCTTTATTTCCTTAACTCTTAATAATCTTAAAAATTATTGGGATATTTTTTATTTTTCCTCCAATATTTTTAGGTGGGGCTGTATTAGGGGTGGGGCTCTAATTGAGGGTGGGGCTCTATTTTTCAACTACCCTCCAAAGTGGGGCTGTATTAAAGGGTGGGGCTCTAACAGAGGGTGGGGCTCTAATATAGGAAATACGGTATGTTAAAAATGAAAGAAAAGTAGCAAATGTTGAGGTAATTGATGAAAGTAAATTGTCAGGCTTTTTTGGGTAAATTTAAAAATTTTATTTTTAATTTTCATTAGTAAAATACTACTAAAAATATTAAATATATTTACCGAAGATCTCATACTAACAACATAATTTTTAAGTGTATAATTGTCAATTTCCAAAATTTGTGCCAATTCATAATTTGTTAAATATTCATTTTCGGGTGTCGGTTTATTCGATAAAAATGATAAAGTAAAAAGAATAATAATTGGAAGAAGAACGGAAGCAATTATGGCCAAATAATGTCTCCAAAGTATATTTACAGAACTTAAATTTATACTAAATTTGGATGACTTCATTTGGAAGGGGGGGTGGGTATTCTAAACACCTCATAAAAATAAAATTTAGCCATAATGTTTTTAGAGCTAATTAGTTGTCGTTTTGTGCTCAAGATATCCTAAACTGAATTGAAGGACGTAACTAAAAATTTTCGGTGTTCGGCCGAGAATTATGTACTAATAAAAAAACTTTTTTAATTTGAGGCAACCAAGTCCATTTAGTATGAATTTATATATAATTTTAAATCTTTTTAAATAATTACCGAACAATAGCCAAATAACGATAAATAAATTGTGAACAAACATTAACTGCAGTAAATCTTTTCATAAAGGAAAATAAAATAAAAAATAAGCATTGCCAAGGATTGGGTAAATAATGTGTAGGTCCGTATTCCCATCCTGTACCAATTCCATTATCAGAGAAAAAAACCTTTTTTCGAATTTTTAAAATTGTCTTTTAAATTAAAGAAAATACCGGCTGAACAATAGCAAATACAACAATCACAGCAATATCAACAATACAAGTTTGCAAAAGTATTTTACTATAAACTTCCATTTCTTTCATTGTATACCGAATTATTAGATAAATTAAAAGAAAATTGAAGAATAATCCCATCCCGCCAAAACAACAAATTATTATAAAATATATTTCCGGTAACATTTTCCTCCTTTATTCTCTCGAAATTTCTAATATAAGAAAAATAATTTAAAATTGCTCGGAGATACAATTGTTAATTAATTTAAGTTTAAATAATTATTTTTTGTTGAATGTTCTGTAAATGTTTAAATTTTTAAAAATGTTTGTTTAAATTAATATTACCTTTTAAATTCTCTATTAAACTACAAAAACATCTAAAACTCCCCTGCCAGTAATTTAAAAAATCAAATTTAATAAATTTTGAATGTTTCATTCTCGTTCCATTTTTGTGTCCAGACAAGTTATACTCAGAGCTGCACGCAATTGAAAAAAAAAAGATTTCGCAACTCGCAATCCGAAATTGCAGCCCTGCTAACAATAAGAAAAGACTGGAGTTCATTTGGGTGTTGTGTGATTTCGGCAGAAGTGACGTAGGCAGTGGTTAAATGGGCAGTGAGTGATTTAGGCAGTGAGGTGAATTGGGCAGTGAGTGAATTGGGTAGTAATCATTTTTTTTAAAAAATATTTTCCACACAAAAACAATTTGAGTATCATCCGATTATGAGTGATTTAGGCAGTAAATTATTGTTTTTAAAAAACTATTAATGCTCACAAATTTAAAAGTATATCTTAAAGTGTAAGATTAGCACATGCTCGTTGGCATAATATATTCAGGAAAAAATATATTTCAATACAAATCCGGGCCCTAGTTAAAACATATTCCTGAGGAATAAAATTTACTGCCTAAATCACGCATAATTATTTTTTCGTTGATACTCAAATTGTTTTTATGTGAAAAATATTTTTTTAAAAAACGTTTACTGCCTAAATCACTCACTGCCCATTTAACCACTGCCTACGTCACTTCTGCCGAAATCACCAGACACGTTCATTTGAGAGGTACAGTACTCGAACTGAAAATCAGCAACAAAAGAGAGTAAATTGATAAATACCGGCCGTTTCATTCTTTCTTTTTTACTAGAAAGTTTTTGAAATATTTAAAAATTAATTTTCAAATTTTTTATTTTAAATAAATGGTTAGTTAATTAATTTTTTATAAAAAAATTATTTCTTTTAAAAAGCCTGGAATAAACAAAATTAAAAATGGCCATCTTGAAAAAAGAAAGGAGTGGATTCGCCGAACTCGAGATTATAGAGAAAAGGCAGATGCAATTAAAAATTTAAAATTAAAAGCTAGAGAAAGGAATTCTGATGAATTTAATTTTCATATGTTAAAAAGTCAAGTTGGGGTTGGTTTTTTGATTAAATAAATAAATTAAAAATTTATTTAAAGCTTGATGGAGTACATAGAGATATGGAATCTGAAGATGAAGAACAGACTGAAGTTCAGCGACTTTTAAGTGATATTACTGACATTAATTATGTCAAATTTCATTTACAAAAGGAGAAAAAGGTTTTTATTTTTAATCGAACTTTTATCTGGTTATTCGCCATTTAATTTTATTTATTTTTAACAAAAAATCTTTAAGAAATTATTAATTTTTAGAAAATCGAAAAACTAAAATCTGTTCTTCATTTTTGTGCTGAAAAGGAAATTGACGAAGATGTTGAAGGGTCTACATCAAAAAATGTTCCTCCAATCAATAAACACATAATTTTTGTTAAAAATAAAAAACAAGGTTTCTTTTGAGTAAGACCCCTTAAGAATTACACCCTCAAAACCTATTGACTTTAAATACCTCAATCTTTTGATTAACAAATGTTTAATGAGAAATTAATTTAAACCAAAAAATTTTACAAGGAGCCCCTTATCAGGTGATAGAATAATCAATCACTTGATTAGTTGGTCAATAAGTCTTGAGGATGTCGGTCTTCAGGGTTGACACCTTTTTATTAAATAATTTTAAAAAATTTTTATTTAAAGCAAAAACATTTGATTTGGCTAAACATTTTAACACAACTGAACAATTTATTTCTCGAACATTTAATCGTCCAAAAATTAATCCTAATAATTCTGTTGAAAGTCAAAAAATAAAACTGGATGATAATGACAAATTAGAGGTTTTTATATTTTCAAAATAAATATTTTTTACTAAGGGGATTTGGAGGGGTTTAAATTGGGTAAATATTAAATTCCTTCAAATCCATTGCCTCTCCCCTATTTAAAATAATTTTTTAGGAAACAGAGAAAGAACGTCGTTCTCTCTATTCAGAACTTGGAAAACGAATTGAACGTGCAAGAGAATTAAATGTTGTTTTGGCAAAATTGGAACTTAAACGTGATTTACAAATTTCAAAAGGGTCGGAGTTAAAACCTAAAAAAGTTAAGAAGGGAAATGCGGAAAGTGCAGCTGTTTATAAATGGACATATGAACGAAAGAAATAAAAATGTTTTTTTTTGTTTTTAATGTTTATTATTTTAAAGAACTTTTTAGTAAAAGAATTTGCAGTACTTTGATTTAACTCAATCATTTCCTACTTCAAAAATACTTCTGAAAATAGACCTATTTTCCAAAAGTTCCGTAAGTCAGTTAGCAATTCCCAAAATTTCCAATTTTTATTTATATTAAATTTTATGTTAAAAATAAGGATAATTTATATATTCTTGACTAAATTATTAAAAAACAAGTTACGTTTCTTTTAAAAGTACAATTATTATTTTAAGAATCGTTACTTGCATACATTACATATTTATGCAGAATTAAGTCTAAAACAATTAAATGATGTGATTAAAAAACTTCCCAAATAAATTCAATTTTTAGACTTTAATTAGTGTTTCACCGGAACCGAAATTTTGACCGGAACCGGAACCGGATCCAATTTAAGTTCCGGTTCCCGGAACCGGAACCGGAACTTTTCTAAGTTCCGGCCCGGAACCGGAACCGGAACTTTAAAAAAATTTTTTTGCTAGCAAATTTTAAGAAATTTGCATTTTGATTTGGGTTGTAGTTGATTTGGGTTGTAGTTTTCTTTTAAGCGCCGCAGGCGAAAAATTTTGAGAATTTGTGAGGACAAGAAGCCAAATTTCTTCCCTTTTCAGCGCCGCAGGCGAAATTTTTGAAAATTTATGAAGGCCATAAGCAAAAAAATTCACTATTTATAAGTCAAACTAAAAATTTTAAGAAATTTAGAGGGCCAAAAACCACAATTACTCCATGTAAAAATAAAATAATTTTGTTTTTAAAATTAAGTTTTAATTTTAATTAAAATTAAATTTTAATTAAAATTAAATTAAATTAATAAAATAAGTTTTTAAGGAAAAAAAAACATGCAAATTAATTGTCGTATGCCTCGGAAGCGAACCCATCTTTAAATCATTCACGCCAAGGGTGAAGTCTAACACCTTAACCACTCGGCCACCCGCTTATATTAGGTCAATTGACAGAAAATAAACATATTTCTTTCGATTTTTTTTAATACACAAGCATGAGAGTACGAGTAGTTTATTAATTTTTCTAAAAAAATCAATCTTTAGGGGTGTAAAAAAGTTCCGGTTTGCCCGGAACCGATTTGAAAACCGGAGCCGGAACCGGAACCAATTTGAGTTCCGGTTCCCGGAACCGGAACCGGAACCGGAACTTCCGGTGAAACTCTAACTTTAATCACATCAAATAATTTTTTAAATATTTATGGTTGTCGTCTCGGTAAATTTGTCGCTCTATAATGATAAAAATCCATAAAAGTTTGTGTTATATTCCAACCAGCACTTATTGTTGCAACGAAAAATATAAATAAAAATGTAATTGGGTAGAGAAAGAAATGGGTATTTTTCAAAATTGGAAGAGCTGAAAATAAAATATAATTAAATTTAATTTTTAAATTCACATTTTTTAAAGAAAAAATCAAAAACTTTTTCCAAAAATTTTCAATTTAATTTATAAATTAACCTGTATATCCCAAAAAGGTAATATAAATATAGTAAATTACAGCGATGCACCAAATTGAATTTCCCAAAGCACGAGCAGCAAAATTTGAATAATCTATTAGACCTACAAAAAAATTTATTTTAATTAAATTACAAAAAAATTTACCATAAAATAACAAAGGCAGAATAACATGAAGACAAATCAATAGAGGAAAGAAAGCATTCAAGTGCACATCAAAACAATAACCCCACTCAACATCTTGATCCTTAACTCGACGTAAATAACGATTTGATATATACCTTTGAAAAAAATTATTAAAAATTATATTATCAAAGAAAAAATTATATTACCAAAGAATTGTTGCAATAACTAAACCAACACAAATACAATCAACAAAAACTGCCCACAAAAAGAATGTTAAGAATGCAGAGATTGATAATCCAAGAGCAAAGGCAAAAAGAACGCTTGAGCCAAAAAGCGAAAATGCCAAAAGAACGAGGAATGCTGGGTCATCACGTGCCCATTGGTCTTTTGTTTCTAAATAAATTTTGAAAATAAAACAACTTTAAATTGGATCAAATCAAAATTTCTCTATTTCCCTTCAATTTATATGAAGGGAAATAGAGATCGGCATTTTTGAAAAGCCTGGACCTGTTCCTGGACTCTGGGTTTGATTTATTGACATGGACCGGATCCTGAGCTTATAGTCCAGGAAAAACCCAGGCCTTGGTTCAGACCCAGACCGATCTCTAAAGGGGAATACTCGAAAATATAGTTCATTGTGTTTTGAAATTTCCGTGACCCCACAAAAATTGAACTAAAATTAGGGTGTCTTTTTAATTAGCTATTTAAAAACAAAAGTTTCAAAACAAACTTTTCCTGTACATAAAATTCCTGTAAACTTTTTGTGGATTAATCATTAAATAAAGCATTTGCCAAGCAGCAAATTCAAAATCCATCTGCCGAGCATGAAAAAGACGTCGAAGATAACGACCTAGTTTAGCAGCTGCCGTCATTCGTACAGACGAGAAACAACCAACTTCCTCGCCAGTTGTTGTTGTGGAACTGTAAAAAAAGTCAAAATTTAAATACCTTTAGAATTCAAAACATTTACAATTTAGAAGTATAAGAAGCCGGGGTAGAATAACCGCTAGTATTCCAATAATCTCTGCTATTTCTAAAAGCTCCCGCTGAAGTTGAAGGAGATTGAACGTTATTTACTCAAAATAAAGGAGTTAAAAGTTAAAGAAAATATTCAAAACCTTTAGTATATCCAAAGCCTTTGTCTTTTCCGAACGAAGTTGTGCTCATCTAATTTGTTAAAAATCTGAAATTAAAGATTAATACAAAATAAAAATTGAAAAATAAATAAAATGATATAAAACAAAAATTGAAATTTCAAAAAAAGTAATTAAAATTTTTATTAACATTTTAACATTTAAATAAGAATTTAATAATCACACAAAAATAAATACACAGCTTTTTAACTTCCTTTCCAATTTCGACTTTTAATCATTGTTGAACTGAACCCTGCTTCTTTTGATTAGCAACAATATAATGGTAGAGAATAACCAAAATAAATATACCGACACCCAAAACATTCTAAAAATTCTTAAATTTTTGTTAAAGAATTGAGAAAATTGAAAAAAATTGAAAGTAATTTAAAAAAATACCGCCATTACACCAAGTTGCACGTCAGTAATCATTTTCCTAGACTTTATCAGCGATGTCAACAAATAATAATATTCGTCAAAGTAATTCTAAAATTAAATTTAACCAAAAAATCAAATCCACCAAAATTAAAATAACAAACTTAAAATGCAGAATACCTAAATCAAAAATGACACGAATAAATTAAAAACAATTAATTGTCAATGTGTAAAAGTTTTTGAAGTTTAACAAATTGAAATGCTTTATCTTCTTGTTGACATTTCGAAAGAGATAAAAAATAAAATTACAAAATATCTAATTACAAAAGATATCAATTTTCTAGTTTTGTTATCATTCACCTCTTTTAATTTCCTTTTTAGCTAAAAATAAATAGGTATTTTTAAACTTATTTTTAATTTTCTTTAATATGGACGATATTCCAATGGTTGATGATGGTGAGAAGTTTATTAAAAATTAATTTAAAACTAATTTTTTATAGAAAGACAACCTAACCAACTTGAAAAAACGAAGAATGCTAAGCCGGCTTTACCTTTACCAGAGCAAGAGGATCGGGAAGAAAAGGCGCGACTTATTTCACAAATTTTGGAATTGCAAAATACACTTCAAGGTTTGGGTTTTATATGAAATATTTGGAAATTTCGGTAAAAATTAAATTTATGTGACACCTTTTCTAATTTTGTCATGTCCCTAGAAAAAAAGAATGAAGTGTTTTTTCAATATTGTAGAGATTTACCAGTAGATAAAAAGGTGTGCTGATTCAGTGTCAGAATATTAGTTCAAATTTTATATTTCTTACTCCGGACCCTAATTCGAGCTGTTAGTTTATCCATTTTAATTTATAGTAAATTGAATTCTACCTGATCGGATTAGGATCAGGGATCCGAAATAAATAAAACTTTATTATCTACTGGTAAATCTCTAAAATATTGAAAAAACACTTCACTCATATTTCTATGGAGATGGCAAAATGATAAAAAAGGTGTCCCATAAATTTAACTTTTACTTAATTTTCATTTATGTTAGGTAATTTTAGGCATTTTTTAAAGAATTAATTCTTTTTGAGTTAAAAATCATTTCCTTTTCAGATTTGAGTCAACGCGTAGAAAGTGTTCGTGAGGAAAGTTTAAAATTAAGTTCTGAAAATATTGTATTGGGCAAATATATTCGTAATTTAATTGGTTCTAGTTCATTATTTCAACCAACAAATTCAACAGCAAATACGCCAAAAGAACCAAACGAATAAAAATTTATATATTTTTTTTTAAACAATATAGATTACTTAAAGTATTTTTTTGTTACTATGCGTTTACGAAGCTCATTCTTTTCTCCTTGTTTCTCATTTTTCAAAAATATTACAAAATGGTCAAAGGCAGGTAAATTAGGATTAAATTACGGTATTATCTACTTTTCAATCATACTTCAAAGGCCTCTATTAGAGGGAGTCATTCAAATGGAGGGTCTATTCCATAGTTTATTCGTCCTCCAAAGGGCATTCTATTGGAAGGGTAATTCAAATTAACGGGTTATTCTATTAGAATAATTTAATTTTGTAATAGTATAACCATTGTTTAATATTTTTGAAAAAGGAGGAAAGGAAGAGGAGTTTAAATGCATAGTAACTATTTTTTAACAAATTTTTAAAAAGAATTTCTTGCCATTGCTTTAATTGCATTTTAATTGTTTGATCTCTGTTTAGTGTGTATTTTTTGAATAATAAACTAATTTTTTTGTTTTTTATTCGAGAATCTATTAAACATGCTTAACCCCAAAATTGACTCCATTAAAATTTTTGACAATTAATTTTTTAATAAAGAATTTTTACATACAAGATTTTTAATTTTCGAATTGATTTTTTGCATTGTCAATCGACAATGTCAAATTGCCTCTACATCCACGACTCCATTCAACACTAGCCCCCTATTGGAAAGCTTCCCCTTCCTCCCCTCTCTAAAGCTATTTTAAATTTTATTTTTGCCCATTTACATAATTTTATCCAATTAAATCCCCCCCTCCCTTTATTAATCGGCCTCTCAAAACCTGAAATTTATTTAAAAAATTAAAAGATGAAGATTATTCTTCAAATTACTTTAACTTTGCTGTTTGCAAGTTTGGTTTATTCAGGAAAAAGAAATGAAGCAAGCACGAGTAAAAGTAAAGATACTAAAGGAAGATTAGTTGTAGATGTTGATAAATTAGAAAGTAATAAAAATATATTTACAAAAATATTTTATTTTGTCGTTAGTTAAGATTGTTAACGACCGATTTAATTATACCCTCGGTTTTCGATTATGGCCGGTTTTAGATCCCCGATTTTCTGTGTGTGTGGATCTGTGTGTGAGGGTTAATTTTTGCCTAAATCTTCATCCAGAATATCACATCCATAATATTTTACTTAATTTTTTTCTGCCTAAAAGAGAAAATTTTAGTGTTTTTAATACCATATTTACTTTAATATTACTCATTGTCAGAGTAATTATTTTTTCATCACTCGTTAGAGGTGGTAATTAATCGAGGAAATAAATATAAAAAAGGTAGTCGGGGGAGTATTTTATTCAATCCTTATTAAACGGAACATTTTAAATTTTATACTATTAAGTTTTGATGGGAAGCAATGATTTAGAATTATTCGTAAATGATCAAACAAAAATAAATGTTTTCAAATTTCTGATAATAGAAACTGAGAGGAATTTAAATTCTGAAATTTTAAAATTTTTTGTTGATTCTAGACGGTTTGAACATTTCAAAGAAGTTTATGCAACTATAAAATTAAAAAAGAATAAAAAAAATTACAAATACAAAATGTTGGAAAAAGAATTTGAGGTAAATTATTTTAGTAGACATTTTGGTTTAGAATGTTCAAAATAAAACTAAAATACCGTATATGCTCGAATAATTACCCTGGGTAATTATTGTTTCGACCTCTTGCTGGAGGGGGTAATTAATCGAGAGGATGGGCTAAATTTGGGGTATATCTCAATAAATCGAAGAGGAAATCCATTTATTTTTTTATCTCTCAAAATGTTTCAATAATAAAATTGACAATGATTTTTTCAATATTTTTGAAATTAGAGAAGGAAAGAGAGGGGGTAATTATTTGAGAGAGGGTAATTATTCGAGCATTTACGCAGATATTGGAAAAAGAATTATTAGTCATATAAATTTTTATTTTGAAAATTAAAAAAAAAAGATTTTAGTTAATTTAAAAATTAATTTTGATAATTTGTTTAGGTATTGGATTATATATTAAATTTGTTAAATCAACACAATTTTGTCGATATTTTGAAAATAAAAGAAGTTTGTAACGACGGAGATATAATTGAATTTTTAGAAGAAAATTCTTTAAACGTTTACAACGATTGTAATGAATTGAAAAATATTTTTGAAAGTTATGGTATTGGAAATGAAATGACAGTGTCTGAAAATACTATAGATGAAATTAGAAATTTTTTTGATGAATGGAAAAATATAAAACAAGAAGGGCATGATAATTTTAATTTCAACCAAATTATGGAGCAACTTAAAAAAATTGTCAGCGAAGGTTCAAAGGTTCCAATGGAGGATTTTAACCACTACACATTTTAAAAAACAATACCCATTGAAAACGATTTTTCATCTTTTTACTATTTTTTTTATTTTTTTTTGGGTTTTATATTTAAGTTTTGAGTTGGTTTTACATATAGACAAAATTTGGGAAATGTTCATTTTTTAGCTTTAGATTATTATTTCTTTGCAAAGTCTCATGTATTGCTTTAAAACTTGTATTGTTTTTCTTAATCTAACAAAAATCTTTCTTTTTTGGATATTGCTTTTTTCCATACATATAAATAGTTGCATTGATATTCTAAATTATTTAACTCCTTTCATACTTTATAAAAAATTTTTATTGTTTTTCACTAAAAATTTATAAACACTTGATGATATTTTTTCGATACAGTATAACTTGGGAAGTCTTTAAGTTAGTCTTCTTTTTTGGATGATAGATTAAAGTAGGGTTTCTCCCCGTCCCCAACGAGGCAAAAACCCCGATCCTAACCCAGAAGGTTCTACCCCAATCCCCGACGCAAACCCCGAGTCGGGGTCGGGGTAACAGATACGCCCTAACATTAAGGATAAAATACATATGTATTTTGGGGCTGCGCCTCAAAATGTCCTACCCTGAAAATGTCCTCCCTTAAAATGTCCTACCCCTTTCCTTTTTCGGAATCCGGGTAATTTGAATTTAAAATAGGGAAAAAGGTTACCGGAAAACCCGAAAAATGTTTCCCGAAAATCCGGAAAATGGTTTCCGGACATTTTCGGAGTTTTTGTTTATTAGGACATTTTAAGGGTTTTTATTCATTAGGACATTTTGAGGGCGCGCCTATTTTGGGAATTTTTCAAAAATTTGAATTCCCAAATTACATTTTGACAAAATAATTCGTCACAAACTAAAAATGTCTAATAGAGTAAACAGATTCATTTCGTCTCATGTAAAGTTAAGAATTAAAATCACAACTGCAAATCAGACTAATCTGAGGTGAAGTTTCGCGCGTGAATTAAACTGCGATAGATAAATGCGAGTCCGTCTTTGATTTTTATGAAGCTAGTTTAAATTTCTTGGTCTTCCTTTTTTTAATTATTGATGGGTCTCACCCTACACAATTTACAGAGTTAATGCAAATTGACCGTGAATCCCAATGTTCATCTTCTGATGAGTCATCAAATGAAACAGAACGTGAACAATCCTATTCAAATTCTATGTTTTTTATTTTGTAATTTAAATATAATTGTTTTTTCAGATGCATTCGGTTGGATCTTGAAGAGAAATGGAAGGCAGATATTGGTATTTCTTTATTAATTTTTTTTGGAAATTCCTATGAAATTATACACATTTTTTGTTGTTTTTGTAGAGGGTTGTTATAGAGGGCTTTAAGGAGGAATTGTGAATTGATTTTCGTGTTTAGATTTGCCCTTTTGCTTTTCTTTTAAGTTTATTCTTTTTTTAAGTCTACAATACATTAATTGTTGATAAACTGCCAAAGCGAAGTCAATCAAAGTTACAACTTGATCTAGAAGGAACTTATCTAGTTGTGTTAGTTTTATTTTATTATATCTAATTTTTAATGTTTGATTGAAATTTAGTTTTCTCGAATTTTGATAATTTTGAATTTTTTGGGGCCTCTTTTATTTCCTCCCTAATCCACAGTCTTTTCCATCATTCTTCTGTTTTTCTTTGTTAGAGTACTAATTAAATTTTGATTTATTTGCTATCCATAGGTGAGAAAATGAAATTTGGGAAGAAATAACATAAAATTCTAAATTACTTTTTTTTTCCTAAATATTTTAAGTAAAATAACTTCAAATGATCAAAAATCTTTAATGAAATCAGCAAACAATGTTTTTGACATGTGCCAGTTATCTAAAAATTGTATTGAGACTGTTGGAGCGTATAAATATCAACCAATCAATTCTGTTAAGAGAATTAAAGAAAAGAACAATCCAAAGAAGAAGAATGGGAAAATAAATTGTTAAATATGTTCTTTAATTAATTTTATTTTTTATTTAAAAAAATTTTATTAAAATATTTTTTAATGAAATAATTTAAAAGCCGTTAACTTTCGGTTTATATTTTTTATTTAAATATGTATTTAATATTTTTTCTAATTTTGAAAGCCAATGTTCAAAGGATTGCGTTCTAAAATAGAAGACGAGGCAAATCGTCTAAAGTCAACTGTCTCTCAATATGGAGAGAATATTGCCAATCAAGTTCGATCAACCGCGGTATTTTACTTTATATATTTAAATTATTTTCTTTAAAAGAAAAAGTTTTTGGTTTTGAATATTAAATTAGCGAGTTGATTTTTCGAGACTTCTATTTCTAAAATTTAAATCGGTGTTCGTTTCCGTCCCCATAGTTAAAAATACAACCATTTTAATTGCTTGTATGCTTATTAATCCTTTTATTTAGAGCGAGGCAGGAAGTGATATTAGTGGAAGGGCTCGTAAATTCATTGACACTGCTCAACAGCTCGATAAGGAGGGACGTGCAAGTAGTTCGGTAAATATATTATTTGATTAGTTTCGGGGTCATAAGTATTTCAGTATTTAATTTTTGAAAAAATTTCTCTTTTTTCTAAATTTATTCTTATTAGAACGCTGCGCCAGCCGAAGACTTTTTGGACCAAATCGGCAATAAACCTTCAAGACGCCTTTCTAACGCTTCTTTGGAAAGTGGCAACGAAAGCCTTTTAAATGCACAAGTTGTTCCCAACAGCTTGAGATTGTCTGCCTCTCCATTAAATGACATATCTTCGGATACAGAAAGCAATGCTGCAGAGAATGCAGATTTTGATCAATTGGATGAAATGCCTCGGGATAAGGTTTATTAAATTTTTGAGATTTTACATTATTTTATTTTCAAGTTGAATGCAATATTCCAACGTTTTCAAGCTCGTGCAGTAAATTATCGACAAAAATACAAGGAATTGTCTAGCATCTATCGTGAAATTGAGAATGAAAATGAAAAATATAAAGTTTGTTTTTCTTTTTTAACACATTAATTATCTCTAAATTTATTAGAATTTGCTTTCTGCAACTCAAGAAAAAGCCGCTCAGCGTATAGCTAAACTAAAAAGCGATAGAAGTGAATTGCAGGAGAAGTTGAAAGCAATTGGAAGTGGAGAAAAGGTTTATTTATTATTTAATGTTTTTACATTTAGTAGATGGAAATTAAAAATAATGGATTTAAGTTTGATCATAAAAGTCTCATGTTTGTTTTTTAAGGTTGATGAACAAAGTGAAAAAATCAAAAAGCTTCAAGACCTTCTCATTAAATGCAAAGATGAAATAACCTCAAATCGTGGCCGTATCACTTCATTGAACGATGAAAATGAACATTTAAAGAAAGAAAATTCATCATTGTCCTCAGAGAATTCTTCTAATGTTCAACGAGTCACTGCTGAATGGAAGGGTCGTTTTGACCGACAAGAAGAGGAGTGGAACCGAAGGATTTCTGAATGTGAGGAAAAGGCTACAATTGCGATTGCTACTTCAAAAGCTGAAATGCATTCAGCACTTCAACAAAAAGACCAAGAACTTGAAAATTGGATTTCGAAATTTCATACATTAGAAAAGAAAGGTTTGTTTTTCTGATAGCAAAAAATTATTATTATTTTTTAGATGCGGAGGAAAATACTCAATTAAAAGAAAAACTTTCAAGTCTAGAAGAAGCAATATTGACACTGGAACAAGAAAAGGCAGACATGGTCCAGAAATTGTCTCAAGCTAAACAAGAAGGAGTTAAACTGGTATGAAAAAATATTTATATTTAATTATTTTTATAAAATATTTCCAAGGTCAAAGAAAGTGAAGAGCGCAGATACAATGACGCTCTCGCTGTCGAGCTTAAAAAACGGGATGAAGAATGGGGTGATCGTTTGAAAGAAATGGAAGACCAAATGCAACTTTCTGTCGAAGAAAATGATATGCAACGAAAGACAAGTCATGCTGATCATGAACGTATTACTAGCTCGTTGAAAGAACGAATTGCTGAACTTGAAAAGGTTTTTCTATTCTAATATAATTGTAATCTTATAACCGTTATCTTTTATAAATCAAAATACAATTTATATATTATATTCAAAATTTTAGAATAACGCAAGCGTTTTACTTAAATTGCACGAGCATGAGGAAGAACTACAAGCAAAAACCGAGGAACTTTGTCGTTTAGCAAAAACCGAAACAAATGATACTTCTAACCAACAACAACAAAAAATATTTGACGACAAACTTGCTGAAGAGAAGAAGAAAATTGTTGCTGAATACGAAGAAAAAATTTCGCTTATTGAAAAGGAGAATTTAAGGAATAAAGAACTTACAATTTCTGAATTACAAATTGAGCATAATAAAAAATTAAACGAATTGAATGAAAAATATGATAATGAACGTGTTGAACTGCAAACAAAACTTGAAGAGGTAAATGATAAATTATAGACATATTTAGTTTTTTAAAGGTCGAGACAAAGTTTCTGAAAAATAAGGAGGAACAAGATAAGTCTGAAACTATCATTAAGTCATTGGAAGGGCAGTTGAGTGCAGCTAGAGTGACCATTGAGAAATTAGAAGTGGATATTGCACAAATTCGTCAAGAAAATGAGGTGACGTTATGGTTTTCTAATTAGTAATTGATATTTTAATTTTAGCTAAAAGACAACGATGAAACCCGTTATAATGATTTGCTTGCTACTCAACTGAGAAAAAGTGATGAGGAATGGAATGTCCGTCTTAAAGAGCTCGAGGAGCAGATAAATCTTTCTTCCCAAGAGAATGACCTTCTACAAAAACAAATAGCTGATGATGAGCGTATTACAAATGATTTAAAAGAACACATTGAAAGCTTGGAAAAGGTTTTATTTTATTTCAGTTTAAATTATTTAACAAATTTAGAACAATGAAAGCCTTCATAAATTGATTGAACAAAAGAAAGAAGAAACACCAGAACATTCTGAAAAACAACAAAAAATATTTGAAGAAAAACTTGAAGAGGAGAGGAAGAAAATTATTGATGAATATACAGAAAAGATCGCGACAATTGAAAAAGAAAGCCTTAAAGCTCGTGAGGATGTACTTATCGAACAACGAAAAATTTTTGAAGTACAACTTGCAACCGAGAAGAAACAAATCGTCGATGAATATTCAGAAAGGATTTCAACTTTAGAGGCTAAAGAACTTTCAGTACAGCAAAAGATTTTTGAAGAAAAACTTTCCAATGAAAGGAAGAGATTAATTAATGAATATTCTGAAAAGATTTCTTTACTTGAAAAAGAGGCAAATGAATCTAAACAACAGGCGCTTTCAGAACAACAGAAAATCTTCGATGAGAGGTCTGCAGAGGAAAGAAAGAATATTATTGATGAGTACTCTGGAAGAATTGCTGGTATTGAGAAGGACGATATCGAAGTAAAGGAACGTTTAATTTCTGAAATTAGGATTGAGAATGATAAAAAGTTGAAGGAATTAACTGAGAAATATGAGAAGGAATGTGACATGCTTCAAAACAAGCTTTTAAAGGTGGAATTGAAAATATTTTCAGACTTTTTTCTGAACATTTTTTGCTTTATTCTTTTTTAAGAGGAAGGGGGGGGGGGCTTTTGTGGGCGCATAACGAAAGAATACCTAATTTTTTGTATTAATAATAAATTAAAAAGAATTTTTGACTTTGGTCTAGTTTATGCGTCTAATACTTTTATGAGTTTTCACAAGAGAGAACATTTGTCAATTGCCTTAAGAAATTCTTTATTAAATTGTTTTTCTAATCGATCATTAAAATTTGGACGCATAAAAGTTCATAGGACGCATAAACTAGACTAACACCGCATTTTTAGATCGAACCGGAAAATCTGAAATACAAGGAGGCAGAATCAGCAGCACAAATTACCATTAAATCCTTGGAAGAACAGTTATATGAATCACAAAAAACAATTGGAAAGTTTGAAGCTGATATTGTTCAACTCTGCCAAGAAAATGCTTCAAAACTAACTGAGAAAGAAAATGAAGTTGCTAAGAGAATTGAAGAAATTAAGAAAGAATTTATTGAAAAGAAGGCGACAGACGACCAAAATTCCAATAAAGAAATTATTTCATTAAGGGAAGAATTGGAGGAATATAAAAATAAATTCGAAGTACTTCAAGTTACATCTAAACAGAACGAATTAAATTATAATGAAGCAATTGAAGCTTTAAATCAATTAAAAATTTCCTTAAAGGAAAGTAATCAAAAATCTGAACATTTGGCTGCTGAACTTCTTGAGGAAAAGTCTAAATCGAGTGATTCTCAGTCTAAACAGGATATTCAAGTAAATTGAGAATCTTTAAAGAATTAGAAAAAATATATTTGTTTAGATAAGTGAAATGAAAGAGGCTCTTTCTTCATGTGAACAGTTGAAATCGCAATTACAACTAGAATTAAAGAATGCAAAACTTGAACTTAGGAAACAACAACAAAATGAAAAACTATTGAACGGTCATTTAAAATATTTTTAATATAATCAAAAAATAAAAAATTTAGACAAAACTTCTGAGTTTGAAGAGACTAACAAAAAATTTTCTGCTTTTAAATCTGCCAAGCTGAATGAAATTGAAAATCTCAAAAAGAAATTAACTGAGGCTGAAGAAATTAGATTAAAGGAAGTTACGGAAATAAAAAGTATGTTTCTTCAGTGTTTTTTAAGTTTTATGCATTTTTAATTTTTATTTTAGAAGAGTCTGAGAAGGCAAAACAGAAAGCAATTGCTGATATGAAGTCAGAAATTAAGCATTTGTATGATAGCATTAATGGGAAGGATTGTGAATTGGCTTCAACTCATGCTGACATTTCTGTGTGTTTTTAACTTAAACTTAAAAAAATTTCTTTTCATTTCAGAAACTCAATGAAGAACTAGACAAATTACGATCAGAATTGGATAAACATAATAATTCTGAAAGTGGACAGCAACAGCAAAAACAACGTTCTAAAGGTTCTTATGATGACGATG